TTATGTAATTTATATTTAGTGTGAAATGTTATGAGTTGGTAATAGCATTAACTATTATATAATATAATAGCAAAAAATTACATGATTACACTTAGTAGGGTGTATTAATGAGAAGGCAAAATATGAATGACAAATTTTGTAACTTCTTTTTTAGGGAAAATAAATGAGGTTTTATTAATTATGTTTTATAAATACATGATTACACTTAATGAGGTTTTATGAATGATATTATTATTATTATTTTAATTTTATATTTCATGAAACAATTTTCTTTAGAAATAATTAGTAAATAGTTTTAACAGTATAGTAAAAAACCTTTAAAATCTTATAAACAATTGTCGTTGTAATAATAATAGTAATAATAATAATTATTATAAAAGTAATAATAATAATAATAATAATAATAATAATAATAATAATAATAATAATAATAATAATAATAAAGTTTTCAAGTAAATTATTTGACCATGATCCCTCCAAATTATAAAAATTACATTACCCACATTTTTTTTTTAATCAATATAGTGATTCATATGTACTCAAATAGTTTATATAAATATTATTTTATTTTTACTAATGATTAAATCTTGAAAATGTGGTATGTCCATTATCTAGAATTTTAATATTAAATTCACATATCTTGAAAATGTGATATGTTTATTTTCTAGAATTTTAATATTAAATTCACATATCTTGGAAATGTGATATGCTTATCATCTATAATTTTAATATTAAATTCACACATATTACTTATAATATTTTATGTACATCTGTGCATGTGCACAGGATGATAACTAGTTAATGTGGATAGCCAACTTTTCCCGCCTAAACCACTTTTAGGCCAAACATGGTAAGTTTTTTCACTTATTACACTTTATTGTTTTCATTTTTCTTTTTCTTTTTTTTTTTTTGGTGTGAATCTTTGAAAATGACATTGTATGTTTTAAATGGCTAAAAAACATTCTTTTTATTATTCCTTACAAACAATTTATCATTGTTGGAAAACATATAAATATAACTTAACTATTTTGTTTGTGTATGTGGTTTATTTTATGTTATTTTCTTCCATAATAGTTATTGTAAAAACAATAATAATAATTCTCAACAAATAGCATAAAATTTACTTAACCTACAAAAATGCAATAAATCACATTTTCTTGCATTCCAAATACTATTACATAAATCACGTTTTCTTTCATTATTAAAAATATTAAATCCTGTAGATCGAAGAGTAATTTCCACAATTCATGATAAATATCAGTAATGCGGTAATATAACATTTTTTTTTTCAAAAATCGGAAAAAACATTTAATTCCCTCAGTTGAGAGCTTCAGATTCTCTCAGTTGGGAGCGTATCTATTGGTTGATTTCTGGTTAATTGGATCCTTATCTTCCTCGTCGTTAATTCCTCGGTGGTTCCCTGTTGTGATCGAGTTTGCTCTCATTCTCGTTCCCGCTTTTCAATTTTCTAGGGTTTCGGTTAACTTGTTTTCTGTAATTTATCATGGCGAGGGCCTCTGCTTCAAACCAGGATGAGGAATTATCTCTTCATATGGAGAACTTCTCTCTATCTAACAGGGAGGAGTCGCTAGTCGACAATGCCCAAGAAGATATTCGATTTAGTGTCAATGAATGCCAGCGAAGTCTGTTTGGCAAAATAGCTGGCGATCGACTGGCTAGCTAGATAGGCATTAAAAGTTCTATGAGCCAGATATGGAGACTCTCTCAGCCGATGGAAGTTAAAGAACTAGAGCCCAACTACTTCCAGTTTATATTTCAAAGCAGGGATGATCTGAAGAAAGTTATAGGAAGCACCAACTGGAGTTTTGAAAATCAGTATCTTATTCTTTCAGAATGGAGAGATAGAATAAGTAGTAAGTACTCATGATTCCTGGGGCTCAAACATTGGGAACAAGTTCTTAATGTGCCCCTAAACTGGCTCAGCACTGATGTGGGCATCAATATAGGCAAAGTTTTCAACGAGGTTGATAATGTTGTCATAGCCAACTATGGCAACCATGGAGGCAAATTTCTGAGATTGTTGGTTTCCCTTGACTTAACAAAAACTGTCCCTAGATGCACTAAAGTCAGATTGGGAGATCATGTAGTCATGATCAGATTCAGATATCAGAAGCTTAGGAACCTATGTCACTACTGTGGACATATTTGACACCTAGATAAGGGATGTCTCAAGAAGGTTCAAGATATCAAATCCAACAATGTCGAAGAAGGCCAATATGGTGACTGGCTTAAAGCTCCTGAAGGACAGTACTGGGCATCTAATAACAGCAACAATGCTGATGGATCAAGGAGCCCTCTACACAGTCCTCAAAGTTCACATCAAGTACCATCACCTGAACACATCACACCTCAATAAGACATGGCTAGCCAAGCATCTCAGAAGAACCAAATCATTGTCCATCAATCAGATTCCAACCCCACTCTTAAATCCTCAGTGAAAGGTTCATCCAACAGCACTTCATCAGCAAAACAACTCAAGACACTAGGAGGGACTAAGCCTACCATTGAAGAACCTGTGAAGGCTATGGATATTAAACCTAGTGCTCTTCCAATTGTCCTGGTTAACCCTTCTACAACTTCTGACAAGGACAAAGGCAAAATGAAAACATGGAAGAGAGTTGGAACCAAAGAAGGTAGGCTGCAATGACAGGAAGGGAATCCAGAAGTTCCTACAAGGAGTAAGAGAACCAGACCAGATCAGACTAGTGACAAGGTTGAACAAAATGATCAAACTCACAGTACATCAAACAATAAGAAGACAAAAGCAGAATCCAAGGAGGTGGGGGTGGCCAGCCTTGAATGGCACCCAAGTTCCCAATGTTAGTTGCGGTGTGGAACTGTAGAGGGCTGGGTGTGCCCTCTACAGTTTCCCAAATTAGAGAGACAGTGAGGTCTCACCACCCAATGTTTGTTTTCCTTTCTAAGAAAAAAAAATCTAATGCTTTTGTTAAGACTGTTATTATGAGGTTAGGGTTTGAGGATAGATTTTCTCTTGTTGATCCTCAAAGCTTAAGGGGTGGTTTATTATTACTCTGAGATTCCTCTGTACATATTATCCAGATAGTTAGTTCTTCTTTTTTCATTGTAGTTCATTTTAATCTCCCTTCCTTTGAACCCCAATGGGGGATTTTTGTATATTTAAGTACCTGCATGATTCAGAAGGCATCTCAGTGGGAAGCCCTGGAAGCTGAGAAAAGAAATTCGGGTGCTCACTAGTTCATGGCTGGTGACTGGAATGACTTATGTTCCAGTTCAAAGAAAGTGGGAGGGATTGCTAGGTCCAACAGAAGCTTCTTGGGTTTTAATTCATTTATCAACACTATAGAGATGGAGGAAATAACAATGCTGGGATATCAATATACTTGGTGTAACAACATATGCTTTAATGACATGGTTGAAGAAAAGCTGGACAGAGCTTTTGGCTCGTTGGAATGGATGCAAACTTTTCCCAATGCCAAAACCTTAAACTTGGTGTCTAGCTCCTTCTTCTAGCTTAGAGAAAAAGTCAAGAACACAAGAATAGTTCTTCCGAAGTGAAGCTCTCAATTTCACACTCAGAACGAACTTGAGATTGCTGCTCTTTCTCATAAGCTGGAGTAGCTGAGGAAGGACAACTCTGCCACTAAATGGGATGACTGGAACAACACTAGACAAGATTTGGACAAAGCCCATCAAAATTAAGCTCACTATTGGCAGCAGAAAGCCAGATTGCATTGGCTTAAGCATGGAGATTGTAATTCCAAATTCTTTCATGCTTACACTCAGCAGAAAAGG